TTATTGTCATTAGTGATTATCTCAATTTCGGCTAAAAGAAGTGACAAAATCCTACACACTGTGCCTTTAAAAGGTTGAATTATCATTATATGAGAAGTTTTTGTTAGTTCTGTAAGRTCTATGTATTACAGCAGGCTGGGCTCTGCTTTTTATATTCAGGTAAGGGGAAGGTCATTTTACTGAGGCCAGCTGACTGTGCTGCTGGTTTTCTGCGATATTATTCAGACTTCCATTTATCAATCACAAATTCCCTTCAATGTGGCGCAACATGTGACAAGCTGTAATATTTCAAACCTCAAAAAAAAGAACACTTTACGTTGTGTGTGGTTATAAAGAACTAAAAAAGTAAGCTTAAATTCAAACACTGTGATGGAAGAATAAAAACCAGTCTTTTTAAAGTACCTTTGAGATGCGTTTCGTCTTGCTCTGAATCCGCTTCTCTACGACTTGTCTCCAGTGAGCTGGATCGTCACTCTGGTGCAGACTTAACTCGGCGCTGGTGCGACCGCCAGAGGAGGAAACGTTCTTGTCGGAGATCGGTGCAGAGAGCTCTTGAGCTGCCAGAGCAAGAACCTGTGAGATTTAAATGAGACTGGACTCAGGGCGTGTGGCAAACACAGCACAGAGCCTCCTTAAAAACATGCTAAAATACTGGCTTCACCTCCAAAATGTCCAACCGCTGGCGGAGACTGTAGTTCAAGGAGTAAAACTCTGTTGTCAAATACTGCGTAACCTAACATACACAGAAATGATGTACTTTATTTATTTATTTTTTTTTGTGGGGGGGGTGTTTTACAGGAGACACATCCTGCTTTAAAGTCCTTCTTTTTCGCATTTAAATCATTCAGTTGGGGTCTAAAAAACAGCAATGCTTTGGTCTGAATTCCACCTTATTGTAGCTCCACAAGCCCCTCTTTCACCCCTTTTCAAAGAATGAAGACAATAAAAGTGGTCCAGACCTTATTTAGAAGTTCTGTTGCAAAAACTTTGCTTAATAGTGCAGAAAACGTCAGAGAGAATTCTGAACGGGTTGAAAAATATGACCCAGACAGAACCTAAAGACATCTGTGCACCATTGGGAGAAACTAAATTCATCTTTTCTGCACTYCTAGAGACTCCAAGTAAACAACAAAATGTATTTAACGGTTTAAAAAGTGGATTTTGCACACATCCCCTTTAAGAAATGAACTGAGGAGAATCCTACAGGAATGCAGGCAGTGACCGCGAGAGCCACCATCGTCGTCTGTCTGAGACGCAGGAAGCCACTGATTCTGTATTTATCCTCCATGTGAAGAAGCACTTTGGTCATCTGCACGCTAATCTGAAAACAAACATAAAGCAGAATGTTCAGACCCATCTGTACAGCTGGATAGAAAAAAAACATGCAAGGTCAGCATGTCCTTTTTACCTCCCTGGCAGCGAAGACATTCGTCCTCACCAAACTCTCAGCAGCTCTCAAACTGAGCTCCACACGCTCGGCGTCCTCGGACGACGTTAAAGCTGAGTCGGTTGACACACGAATAAAAGACATGAGAACGGATTAAATAAAATGCATTCGAGGATGATTTAAGGCAAACAGATCGCATTAACGGAGACGTACTTTCCAGGCAGTCTCGAAGGTACCGAGGTGGGGACGCCCGACCCGTCTCCTGATCTGCAGACATATCGTACGGCGTGAAGTCGTCGTCACTGGAGCGGCAGAGAGACGCAAAGTGAAAAAGTGAAACCTGTAAAACGTCTCAGCCTTACTGACGGATCAAACGCTTACCTGTCGAGATCTGAGCCTGGACCTGTTCCACCTGGTTGACTTTGTGACGTTACGTTCTGAGGAGATGTCGAGGTTTGACTCACGCTCTCAGGAGAGTCACGCCTGAAGACGACATAAAACTAAATAAAACATGGAAGAACGATCCCAGAAGCTTAGGTCGGACAGCTGTCAGGATWTACATGGTGATCGTAATTTTATTGATTGACATTCTATTTAAACAACTTTAAATTTATTGTTTTTATTGTGTAGTTTCACTTTATTTTTCTTTTTACAGATCCTGACTTGTTGTTTTTAGATTGCTTCTGTTTCTGTTGTGGTCCACTGCTGAGATGTGACTCCACAGTGCAGATGAAATAAAGCTCTTATTATTCCTAAAGAGAGTTTTTTTCAACGCATTGAGATACAAACAGTATCTTTTCCACTATTACAAGCTCCCTGCTCACAAACCTTGTAAAATGTTTGGCTAATTTACGAGCTTCTGGCAAAAATGAAAGATTCTAAGCGACCTCTGTGAGCGGTTCTCTCCCTCTGCTGACCAGAGGACTTCCTGTGTTCTCATCCATCCTGAGTCCTGACAACGGCTGAGTCCAAATTCAGGGGCTGCATCCTTTGAAGGCTCAATTTGTCAGCTGATTACATCGCAGCGATGAGCCGAAGGCTGTCCAAATTCGAAGTCTCCTCCAATTACGGCCCACAAATTTGTCCTCCTTTTCCCCCTCATATGGTCTGTCTGTTAGTTCTTCGTGTACTGCCTCTGAGCCAATTTAGTAAATTTATTCACAATATCGATATAGTAATAGTTTTGCTAATTTCTGGGTGGGAATAAAAGCTGAAGGTTAGACATCCAAATTCACAGCCACTTTACTCCGATCGGCAAAGGACACCTGGACCAGGTACGCCAGGTCCTTCGAAGGAGACAGCCCTTGAATTTAGACACAGCMCACAATTCAAAATCTACAACCTAATGCTATTTCTGTTTAGCTTCATAATTTGTGATTTCCTTAAAGTCTAAAGTACCCATCCATCATCTATACCTGCTTCTTCCTTTCAGGGTCGCTGGTGCCCAGCAGTGACTGTGTGAGGGGCGGGGTACACCCTGGACAGGTCACAAGTCCATCACAGGGCCACAAAGGGACAAACAACCATTCACTCTCTCACTCACACCTAGGGACAATTTAGAGTTACCAATAATAAGCAAATCATTTGTAAACAGTAATAGCTCAAACTTTGTGTTGATGTTTTGAGATTTGTAAGCCCACAACATTACGGGAACAGTTCCTAAGACTGGATCCTGCTCCTCTCACCCAGTTGATCAAACTCTCAGACCCACCCGTTTCCAGGCTCAGGCTCTGGTTCATCACATGTGTCAGGAGTTATGAGAGACAGCAGCTCTCGAGTTTCTTCGTCCGGTTCGTACTGCAACACAAGACAAACCAAGTTTAGGTGAACGTCTTGTGTTTGAATCAAGTCAAATTTGGTGGTGAATCTGCAGAAACCTACATGTTAGTGATGGTGGCAAAACAAGCTTTACTGAAGCACTGAAGATTTCAAGGGCTATTCAACTGGTGGCCGATGGGCCACATCCGGCCCGCCAGTGACCAAAATTCGGCCCGCCAATTGGTTCATTCATGTCTTAGGCCCAAACCCCCGGTTTTCTACTTTAATTACTTGTTGTTTTGATGAATACATCATTTTGATGAGTAAACTTTTTAAAGTGTGCCAATGAATGATGCCCCTGTTACTTCCTGACATTTGTAAACAGATTATTAAGAGGATCCCTAATTAGTTGTAACATTAGACTTTGTTTAATAAACATATATTTTAACTGTAAAATAAAGACTAAAAA